ATTCACATTCGCATTCACATTTCACATTCCAGCAGTTATCATTAACATTTTATTTTATTCAAGCAACTTCTAATTTTCATTTAGTAATCTTGTACAGTTTTGTATTTATTTAGTGTTAAGATTGTAAATATAGTTTTTTACTGTTGCGTCCGAATTTTTATTGAGCTACAAAAACAAATAAGTGTTCGGTGCCATTTTGCTACCCGCAATTTACCAACAGCACCGTTTAAGTCAAAACAATTAGTAATCTTAATTTTTCATGTAAAACTTGCAATAATAAAAGCACCTAATGTTCTTCAGATCTTATTTGCCTATTAACTTTTAAGATCCCCCAAAAAAACTTTCAGCTACTGGGATTCAAGGGTATGTCCACTTCTTCTTTGTCACATAAATGTGTCCCATCTTACGCCTTTTATTACTTATACATAACCTACTTAACAATGGCATACGGAAAAAGTTTTCCTTGAAATACATCTGCTATTATTATTAATGTGAGACTTTCTCGCTTTCCGTCATTTTGTTGCGACTCAGAACGGCGGGACGGATGTGAGAAAAACAGCAAGGAAGTTACAGCTTTTAATTAAGGCACTTATAATGGTTCCTTGCGACTGTAGTAGGAATTCAGAATTATTTAGCTTTTAGCTAGGTAAGTGCCATTCCTTCTTGCAAGATTCTACCTTGTTGTTCAGAGCGAGAAGTGTTAAAACGCGTTTACAACATTGAAGAGCGTCAATTTAATTAAAGAATTTGTAAGCCAAAAACAACAAGAATAATTGTTCAACAAGTACGAGCCGAACATTAAAGATTTTAGCGTAAATAGTTAACAGAGGTACCTACTTGAAGGATAAAATGTAACCAAAGAATTTATTAAAAGCTAATGATTTCCTCAGCGCAAAATCGAACAAAAAAAGTAAATGATTAATTTAGAAATTCGATTGGCGGCTCTGTACGGATGCGAAACATAGAACGGTGAGCGTGTCGATAAGGGAAAGGTTAAATGCGTTCAAAACCGTTCACCTGATAAATATACAGTGAATTGAGTAGGAGAACAGAAGACGTTTTGGAAGTCAATAAGAAGTAGGCAAAATGTCCTACGAACCGGACACCTTCTCAGGGATGAAGAGCTAGTTGGAGACATATTAGAAGCACAAATAGGAGTTAGGAGGAGTAGAGGTAGACCTTCATTACCCTACTGTTCACAAATAGTTAAGGATATAGAATGTTCTCCTTTTAGGGAAATGGGAAAATTGTCTCAGGATACGGAAAAGTGGAGACGCATATCCAACTAGAATTAGGGTTGGCAATCGCTATGATAATGAATTTTAAAAAGTTAAAGACTGTTTCTACCCAAAATTTTTTGTAGGAATTAGTCAATTAGTTAGTCAATATCTATTATTCGTTTAGCTGCCTCATAATTAGGAATCAACTTGTACAGAAGCACACTAATTGGACATTATGTTCATGTCCATCATCTTAGATTATGTAGAGTTATAAAAGAGTATGTCAAAAGGTTTAAATGTTGTTTAACGTGATAATCGTCAGAACGTGAAAGATACGCTCCCTTGGGGGTGGGTACCTACGTCAGTGATAAGTCTCCCAGGGGCGAGTTATGTCTCGGATTTAAATAAAAGCTATCTGCTGACTACAGTTACATGGTGTGAAATCAAAGTCAAAAACAGTTATTATTTGTTGTTTAAAAAATAGGCGCAGTTGTTAAAGTAAGGGAAGCTTTTAACCCCTTTTGATTTAACGCTGGGTATAAACAGGAAAATAATTATATAATATCCACGAATTTCTACTTAAGTCAGTACATCTACTACTACGCTCGTAGTATGTTAACAATCGTTTAAATAGCAGAATCAAAAATAATCGGTGGAGTCGAATTCGGATTCAGATTGAAGAATTACAACAAGCTAGTAAGATAAGGTGGGGTTTGTCGTTTTCATTCACCCTGTGATAGCTCCTTACTATTTTCTACATTTAACCCAATGTTTATAAGGCAGGAAAGTATATTTGTCAATTATTTTATTCTTTTTAAATTGAAAACAATATTTTTGTATATCAAGTCAGAATAAGCCTCGTATTAAGCATTTATCGTAGTAACTTTTCTAAATCCTGTCCAATATATTAATTATACGTATCTATTTAAGCTAGTTTTTTTTAATAAAATCCCAGAGATTAAGTAAATGGAAAATAAATAACCTTCACCCCTATTGACGTGGGATTTTCTTATTGATATTACATTTATTTTAATAAATTAACTACATTTCTAAATCAATAAAGAAGCGCTTTTTACGAGACATGGTGGAGACGCTAGTTTTAAGATTTGTACAAAAAAAACGTTTTCAGTATGACATGATGGAGGCATCACATATTGAGTCATATATTAAATTCGCTTCTTCAATCAATGATCGAAATCAGAAATCTTATCGATACCATTCGCTAAAATTGAAAGATTAGGGTTTCTATAAACTCCCACATGTTTTCGGCTGAGATACCCAAATAGAAAGGCTTTCAGAAGTTGGATACTCGAGTCCGTTAATTCCATCAGCCCGGCTTACTACGATTAATGCTAGACCTCGCTGCCCGTCTTAATGGCCATCTCAACTTGAGGATTCCCAAAGGATGGTGGCCGATAAAATACGTATTTACTGGCTCTTTCAGTCTCGAAACCGCAATAAAGAACGGTAGGCGGCAAAATGAAAAACACTATTAAACGTAATCCGAGTTAACCGAAGTGGAAAGTGAGGAAATAGTCCACGTTGTCAAAGGAAACGAACAGGCAATCAGAATGTGCTTAAAATACAATTGAATCCCTATAATATCAACCACCAAATATAAACAACATCATCGAAAAAGGAGTTTTTCTAAAGGGGAATGTGCGCTTAATGCCGGCCATATCATAATCTGCTAACACATCGTTGCTTGTGCGCGAATTTTTGGCTTAAAACATTCACACTAAAAATGCCGCAGCCACTATGTTTCCCAGAGTAGCCCCCCTGTGACTTGACAAAGAATAAATTTATTTAACTCTTATATCATTCGATTTGAGTGCAATCAGGATTTTTTTTGGTTTGAAATGAGGAGTCTGTTTGAATTTCAATCTGCATGCTTTTTTTCAAATGCTTCGAATTTTACACATGTCACTTAGTTAAATATTATTTGTCGGCTGAATATGTTGCTTTATAAAAAATAAAATCACTTAAAGCGCAACCATGTGAATACTTCCTCGTTTACACTTTAATTTGGAAAATTGTTTCGCCTTTCATCTTCTTGAAATTTTTCCGACTTAAATTCATGAAAAAAACAAACATAAAGACGTAATTCACATCCTCTTACCTTTGCCCTTGCGTCGAATCGATGGCGATGATGTCTTCTCTCTGCTTGTCGTTCCTCCGATCGAAACCTCTTCTCAAATTTCTTATACAATTTTCCAGACACGTGCTTCGACCTCGGGGAATCGGCAAATCCCGCAGGCGGTTGAACTATATCCGCTTGACTGCCACTCCGAGACGATCGTCTATCTGGATCATCTGTAGTTACAATGTCGACTTCCTTACCGCAGTGCAAACAGTGAACCTGGTGTTCTGAAGTCGCAGCCTGACTGCTGGGATCGCTGTAGAAAACGCTATCACTACCTATTCGAAGATAACAAAACCTTAGTCTGCATTAATAGCGTTTTCGCACATTGATTTTATTTGCGTAAGGGTAAGAGGCTTACATCAAATAATATAACAAGATTTAGGGGGCAGTACAACACATTTAATCAAAGAAGACGCGGCAGAAAAGAAAAGGTTAGAAGCGTTAGAAAGCGAATGATAATGAGACTGTGGATTGGAAAGGTCAGAAATGAGGAGGAATTAGCAAGAATAGGAAAATAGAGGGCGATATGGAAGTCAATAGGAAATAGGCGAGATAGATTGATACGGTACCTTCTAAAGCATGAAGGGCTAGTTAGAGACATATTGGAAGCAGAAACAGGAGTCATTAGGAGATTACTGTTCACAAATAGTTAAGGATATGGGATGTCCTATTTTCTGGAAGATGCGAAGATTTACTCAGGATAGGAAAGAGTGGACACTTAAATAAATTTGGGTCAATTTACCTGGACTAACAGACCGCAACGATTCAGCACTCAACGCTTTTAAACGAGTTGTCTCAGGACTTGTTTTCGAATGACTCAGTCTCCTCTTGGATGTTGGGGAATCTGCCGGACTAACACTGAAAAGTAGATAAGCTTCGTAGTGACTCATTGCAATAANAATATTGGAGTTTTTCTAGGTTAATTGGAAAAAAGACTGATGTTTGTTTAGCGTGAAGGATCAAAGCCAAAATAGGGTTGCAAATAATTTTATTGATGTAAAGTCAAGATCAATCGTTTTATATCGAAATATTTACAACCCCATTTTGTTTCTGATGTTTTACACATTGTAATTAGAGACGGAAATGGAATCCATGGTTTCTTTAGCTTTGGGTTCATCTAATAAGTGAATTTTTTCGGATCGTTTTCTACTAATTTTGGATTATAGGCATATTAGCACACCACAATATCTTATAGTTTTCGATATTGTTTTGTCGTAATTGATAGAATTTCGTAGTTCCTTGCTAAAGGTACGATAAGTGGTGATTTAGCAGGTGCTGATATCAATTTGGAACTTCAAAATTCTATGGACCATGACACTGAACCCAGAAACCAATATCGATCCAACGTTTTAGATTATCCATTTCCAATGAGACACTGTTAAGCAAATTCTAAAATGCTCTTGTCCTAAACAATATGGTAAATTTATGGATGAAACTTAAACACAGGCCAATTCGGGAAGGGGTAAGCTAATAATACCTATTAATCTATTTTGGATTAGATACTTCTTTTATTTTTTTATTCATTCATATTTTTGCACAACTACCTACTTCAATCAATCATCAATCATAAGGTCGTCAGTCCTAAGACTGGTTGGACACGTACCTCCACTTTTTCCTATCCTGAGCTAATCTTCGCATTTTCCTAAAACTAGAGCATCCCACATCCTTAACTATTTGCGAACAGTAATTAAACCTAGGTCTACCTCTAACCCTCATAGCTCCTGTTTCTGCCTCTAATATGTCTCTGACTAGACCTTCATGTCTGAGAAGGTGTCCTGCCAACCTATCTCGCCTATTTTTTATTGACTTCCGTAGAGTCCTTTGTTCTCCTATCCATTCTAATACCACTTCATTTCTAACCTTTTCTACCCACGTTATCCTCATCATTCGCCTATAACACCACATTTTGAAAGCTTCTAACTCAAAATTTCACCGTTTTTGGACCCCTCCCCCCCATTCGCCACTCTAAATCACACTTTCAGCAGTCTCCCTAATAAATATTACGTCACAAAAGATAGTTCACTTTCCACCCCTTGCATGCCCACAGAGGTGATCAGTATTCTTTGTACGAATGGGTTTGTGTACGTGTATGTATGTGTATATACAAAGCTTTAGTAGGAAAATTAAAGTACAATAGTTGACTAATCAGTAGCACACCACCTCCCCCCAAAGCACAATACATCGCTAGAGGCCTGAATAAATAGGAACGTACATAGATATTATTAAATCAGATGAGCATGTGTATAACCGATTTAGGTGACAATACCTAATGGAAGTTTATGAACATTGTAATTGTGTAAACACATTGGATTGGTTGAGCCGATTAATACTATTATTACATTATTCGATTAAATCGCAAGGGTTCATGCTATGTCTCGCTTACATGCTACCATTCCAGTAATTTCATTTCTACGATACGCATTTTAATGAAATTAAAACCGTAATTTAGAGATCCAATATAGTTTTTAGTGCCTATTATTGATTTTAAAATTCAACTATATCGGTCTCCATGGCTTTCCAATGAATTATTTTAATACTGCGTTCAAGCTAACTCAATAAATAACTAAACGGGACGCAGAACAATTTCAAATTTAATGGAACTATCAAAAGGATTTCTCTATAAATAACTGTTGAAATTAATTGTAAGTTAAATGTACATACGTGTATTTAATTCAACATGGAGAATCATACACAATATCGTCCACCCGAAGAAAATATAGGATGAAACAGGAATAAATGCAGAGCTTGCAAGAGGTGTTAGAGTACAACAAACCATAAAAATTAAGTAAACAATTGTATGTCCAAAAATTCCTCAGTTTTGAGAAAAACGTAATTGAAAATATAGAAAAATTCAATTCCGGCCCTGGTAAGGAAATACGGTCCGCGACGCTACACTAAATCAGCTGGTGATTACAGGCATAAGAGCAGTTCAATAAAGTAATTCAGCAATACAACATCAATCATTAGTACAGATCTGTCACTATATAACAGTTGTTGTTGCAATAATGTGATGTGATACATGATACGAGTTTGAACCATAGAGTCCCTGTAGGGACGAAATACTCCAATATATAAAAGACAATCTCCAAAATAACACACGCGAAATAGCAGAGAACGTTGGCTCCTCTCATATAACAGTGCGGCAAATTTTAAAAGAGCAATTGCTGCATCCTTATCATTTGCAGCGAGCGCAAGCCTTGAAACTGATTTTCAGCCGCGAATGTGTCGATGGTTCGGAATCTATCTAGCTGTAGACTTTATATATCATGCTACGCTATTCGGTGGACACCTGTGTTGTCAATTCACGCACAGGACCGGCTTCGGATTGTAAATCATTGAATTTCTTGAAAAACATTTTGCCCTTAACCATACTGCTGTTTACTACTTATTGTTTATTGCATCTAGTTTACCACCGTGCAATTGTTTATTGCATCTAGCTTACACCATCCAAAACTCGGAACCTATTTCTGTTATACCACCCTGTATTACGAATATTTATCAAGAATCGTCAGATTGACGGCGTTGGAACCATAATAGAGACTATAGGTGGGCAGGTACATGAGAGCTCGTATGGAGTAGTGACTATAGTGGTGGTCAGTGGTAGGAACTAGATCATAGTAAATTTGATCAAAAATGACTAATTCGATCTATACTTCTAGTAATAAAAGTACAAATTTTGCTTTTCCTCGTAAGTGTACAGCTTAAATATTACCTTCCGTATATCGAGATATTTCAACAGTTTTAAACAAAAGTTTGGAACTTGTCCAATTCCAATGACGAGACGTTTCGTGACAATAATTAAAAAGCAACTGAGCCGGTTTCTTTTGAACGACTACAAAACTGAAGACGGCACAACGTTAAGCCGAGGTAAAAGGGGTTGTTACCACTATTCTTAAAACAAACAACCTCTTCGTAGCCTTGTGTAAGTTATATGTACGTGTTTGAAGTGTACAAAGCTACGATACGCGTAACAACGCCTCCATCATCAATCGAAACTAACTAAAAGTTCTGCCATCATCGCATTGGCTAAAAGCATTCCAAACCCGAACTAATTGGAAAGTAAACCAATAAATTTTCAATTAATAATACGAACCAGTTTGGAGCTTTCTACATCACGAAGTGGAAACACTCGCGGTGCTTTCACTGTTTTTACAGTTTCCGTAATCGTTGAAGTGATATTGCACTTTTAATTGCTCGGTTGGTACACCCCATTTTGGTAGGGTTAATTTCAATACACTAAAGTGAATTATTTTCGGAATTAATTTTTACCAGTACAGATAACTTCAAATTAATGAAGAAAAATTGTTACACCCTCGCTAGGTATCAACCATAGAACTATAAATAACAATAATCTTGTGGTATGAGATCCTCATTCGTGTTATATTTCTCAAGGTAGGTAGTGATAAGCAAAATAGGTCTTGATCTTGCATTCTTGTCTTGCTCGTGGTCATGCGGTATTAATCATGCAGAACTACCTTTCTACTGGTAAGACCAAGACCAAGACTAAAACCGAGACCGAATATGCAAGATCAAAACAAAAAATTACCACTTCTGGTGGATTTGCTAGTTAAACTATTTGAAATAACTTTATTTATTCTTTTCTTGGAACAAAACATTTTTTTTGTATTTAAAATTTTCAGTTTGTTTTACTAGATTTTAATGATCATCATAAGGTTGTCAGTCCTAAGACTGGTTGGTCACGCACGTCCAATCCTTCCTATCCTGATCTAATCTTCGCATTTCCCTGAAACTACAACATCCCACATCCTTAACTATTTACATCTACCTCTACTCCTTTTAACTCGTGTATCTCTCTCTAATATGTCTCTAAGTAGACCTTCATGCCTCAACTATTTTATTTCGGAAAAGAGAAGTCGTAATTATTTACCTGAAAGCATCTTTAGACCAGTCTTGGTCCAAATTATCATAAAATTTTCTTATAACCAAATTCAACACCGAAAAGTTATATTTCTCAAGTCAATTTAAGTTTATACGCAGAATAATGATTGCAATTTTTCATTGGAAATCGCTTTTTGCGTAAATTCCGCATTTTTACGGGAATTTAATGTCAAGTCGGAAAATCTTTAATGTTCCTTGTGCGTCGATGCTTAAAATATCTAAATCATTCGCTTTGTAATTTAGCAAATCATTTATGGCGAAAAGCAGGCCAATAAATTGTTAGTAATGCGATTCGGATTTGAAATTTCAAAGAGCAATATTCGAGCATTTGTGTTGAGTAGAACACCATATTGGAAATCTAATGTCTTTTTTCAGAAAATTCCAATTAAATTAACGACGTACAACAAAACTCAAACGATCCCAGCGTCAGGCAGAACGCATCGATATTATTCAATCACCCAATATTTATCCTTTATATATTCACTAGTGACCCGCCCCAGCTTCGCACGGGTGCAATGCTGATACTAAATATATTTTTGTTTTGTTTACATTATTATCGAAAAGTGGAAATTTTCAAAAGATACCCCCTGAACATACTAAATATACTACAGAATGTCTTTATATACAACATTCACAGTTCTTTTGTCATTAGACAATACAAACCGGCCTCCCGGCCGGTACCGCCGCAACCGCTATGTCCCTGCATTTTAAATCTGTAATATCTTCGAAAATATTCATTTAAATTACATGCTCTAAAGGACCATATTGATCTATATTAAATGCACAATGTATTTAAAAGTACTTAATTGGATAAGGATTAATGCTTTATTGCTTAAAATCGCTTCGTAATTAAGTCATTATTTCTATTAAAAAGTAAAGGATAAAAATGGTTATTGTGGGTTATCCCTAAGAGATAGACATACACCATCGCGGACTTTATTGTAGACCCTTTTAATATG